CTCACAAACTCACAAGGTTTCGGAATTCAATTTTAGGCATTATTTAGTATTTATTTTTTAGGGTTATAATATGGTAATGTGCAATGGTCACATTACCATATTGTGCATGCGTGTGTATGTGTATGTGTGTACTTACCTGAGGTTGCTCTTTTGTGCATTCAGTAACTGCAGCAGTCTCTTGGCTAGTGTTGCTGTAGGTCTGTGCTTGGTAGTGTTGGTACCACTGCTGCATGGCCTCCTGTCGCACAGAACAGAACCAATGAAACAGAATAAAATACAGTCAGACACAGCTTTAACAGGGATCTATATGAACAGACATCTGTTGTGGCCGTTCTTGGCCGTTTTTATGAGGCTTTTTTAATAGTGTTCATATCGATATCGGAATTATATCGTATCGACCGAAATTAAGATATATATCATGATATAAATTTTGGCCATATCGTCCAGCCCTAATGAAGATCTTGACTTTGACTTTAAGACCCCGAAATACTTCAAGTGAAATCAAAGAACAAATTGGTGTGACATAATTTCAAACAAATCAGGCCAAAATGAAGTTCGTTTGGAGTTCGTTTTGGGAGTTCAAAACAGCTCGTCAAGTCTGAAAAGGTTCACTCTGGCAGATAAACACCTTTGAACTACCATTGTTCCGTGGCAATTAAATAATAGGAGGTGTGCTCTGGGGCTCCTCCGTCAGTATATCGGGGGCTTAAGTGACTCTCCTTGCAACTCTTTTCTCTGGCTTGACACCAAGTTGTGACACCAAGTTGACGGTTGGTCAATGTCGGGTCATCGTTGAGTGTATGTTGGATTAGTTTTTGTGATGGTACTAGTCAGACCCCGTCAGCAGCTTTTTGGGAGCTCGTCGAATCTGCGGTGGAACCCATCGGTGAGAGAGATGACTCTGATTAGCTGTTCAGCTTAGCGAACGAGTGCATGAGAAGAAAAACGAAAGTGATGAAAGAAAGCCAAAAGGGCACACACAGAACTCTTCTCATTGTACATCCCCAGTCCTATTTCTTCTGGTTTCCTTTTTGAATAACAAAAAGGAAACCAGTTACTGCTATGGCTGGTATAGAGAGTTATTTCCTCTCACACAGGCACAGAATCTACATGCTAGTTGGCCGTTGGCTGTAGTCTTTGCTGTGTGTTCAAGCGCAACTTTCTGGCCCAGGCGCAGGTGCGACAGCACAATCGGCTTTTGTTGCTGCTAGTTCTTTGATGTTGGTTTGGTGTGTCTGGGCATTTACTGATCTCACTGACTCTAGTCCCAGCCTCAGATGGCATACCCAGTCCATTCACTAACAATTTGCTGCATATTGTACACAAAATGGCAACAGCTTTCTGGATTTATTGGATTTTTCAGGGGTCAGGGTACTCACAAGTCCATCTGGCAAAAAATGTGTACAAGGTACCAGGCGGCTCCAATACCCCTTGTGTCCAATCTGGAACTGTTCTGTGCATTTCCACCATTGAAAAGACACTTCTTTTCCTTCAACAACTAAAATTAAGCTGGTCTTAAACCAGGAACCACTAATGTCAAAGCCCAGGGTGCAGGATAATAGGGGCTTTCGCACTGCATAGTTCTAGGAACTTGCCAGCATGGTGGTTCCTACAGAACCATTTTCACCCTTGGCCTGTTTTCCTGGTTGCATTCGCACTGGCAGCAAGAACTCTGAAGCGGCCAAAAGCGACGTCTTTATTCGTGGCATTTACAAACATCAACAACCGATGAATGGAGGATGCCGTGATCGGAGCGGTTTTGTTTGTTGTAATGTAATCTCACAATTTACAAGATTGAAAAGAGTATGAAAATGTGACTAAATCTCCTAGGACAAATTGAAGTGTTACATATCATTAAGGCTAAGAAAAGAACACAACAGATAAATGCCGTTATTGCTGTTTTCCATGTTTGTGGAGTAAATATTTTTACGTGGCTTTTTAAAAATGCTGGGTAGCCGCTGTTTCGTATGTGTTTGGCCAATAAGCATACACTTATGTCACTGGTAGTTCCTATAGAACTGTTTTAGACCCTACTCTAAAGTAGGAGCTAATTTAGTGCCCCCAAACAGAGTTCCTAGAACTAAAACTGTTCCTAGTTCCTGTGGTGCAAACACGCCAAAAGCGGGTACTTTTGCCAATAGTTCTACGAATTATGAAAACTTTCCTCTGGTGCGAAAGCCCCTAATGTCAGCACCAATTAGATAAAACACAGGCTGTTTCTGACAGAAGTTCAAACCAGGATAAGCACAAGCACCAATACCATTTTAATGGAAATTTTAGTTTTTCTGAGCAAGAAGGTTTGGTGATTCATGGTTAATGGCATTGTATCTTTCAAAAAACATTTAGAAATTTGTTGGAGAAACTAAAAACAGAACTAAATTTCCTAGAACTAAATAACAGGGTTGTATATGATTGTCCCATGGCTTCTGTAGGTCCCTTATATAAATGGTAGCAAACTTGCTTCAAGAGGGCAACCATCCTGCAAAGTTTAGCTCCAACCCTAATCAAACACACCTAAACCAGCTAATCAAGATGTATTACTTATCATGTATTACTGAGTACTTATCAGACAGGTGTGTAGGAGCAGGTTTGTAACCGAACGTAGCCTTTCAGGACCAAGGTCGATTACCCCTGCTTTACATATTTATCAAACAACTTATTCCTCTCTAAGAGAGTGGACCTTGGTCAGAATAAGCATCGAAGTGAACTAGACTTAATGCCGATAGTCTCGTTATGTGACTCTACACTGAATACATTGTACCTCTTTGCATCCAGGTGCCTGCAAGGCTAGATCTCCAGCTGTTTCCTCTTTTTTTCTCTCCATCTGTCTAACCTTGTGGCCTAATACGTTTCGCTAGTTTTCTCTTCTACCATTCCTTTAATACATCTCTTCCTTCTCATCTCCTTCCCATTACTCCTTTCACCATTCCCTGCTCTCTTTCTCTCTGGACACCTACAGCGTGAAAGCTCACTGTCTCATTTCACTAAAGCTGGTGGAGTGTGTGGGAGTGTGCGACCAGATGGGACAGACAACTCGCAGCCAATCTTCCTCTTCCCTCCTGCCTTCCCCCTCTGCATCTCTCGCTCCCCCTTCTCTCCCTCCAGCTCTCACCCACTCCTTCTCGTATTGTCATAGGAACGCCGGCAGTAATGAGAGGGAGACCCACATTTAAGCCATTTAATCCTGCTAAATTTCCTTCCCCTCCAAACTCTCTGCCAGGGAATGAGTAGGGGATCACCCTAAAGACACTGGTAGGAATCTGAGAGACTGTGGGTGGACTGCAACTCCTTCTCCTTCCCTCTCATCCCCTCCTGGAGCACATTTTCCTCTCCTCTGTGTCTGCTGAAATCTATATTTTCCCCATTTCTATTTCATTTGACGTTTTTTTGACAGCACAGTGCAAAGTGGCAGGATATTATTGTGGAGAAGTCTTGGGTAGGGCTTTTGTCGGGCACCTATTTTGCCGCCGTTCACAGTTCAGGATAGTCACTAGTAAAGGACTTGTGACTGTGTGCCATGTGGTGTTATTGGCTAATCAGCATTGACATGATGTCATCTTCCTGAGTAATTAGTCACATGTCATTTATGGCTCGGGTGATTGGCTCAAAACTTCTATGCCCAGATAGCATTTAAATCACATACTTCAGGGGGTTTAAGGTAGGGATGTTTTGACTGTCGTTTAAACAGAAGTTGACTAGTCTAAAAGCAAGAAACCCCCAAAAGATGGTAAGGAAAAAAAAAAACTTTGTGCGTGCGTGTATATAATAGCCTACATTTGAAATACTTCATCTATGAATCACAATGTCAAATCTCTCAATGAATTCCGCTAAAAATAGGTCACAATTATGCCGTACACTTGCCTCGTGTTATCATCATTTAATTTTAGGCGGTCGAAGAGCACACACTCAATGTCAGCCAATGCTTATTTATCAAAATCAGCTGGGGAAATGCAGAACAATGGAAAATCAATCAATAGCCTGACAGAATTCTTCATCTTCATATAACGTTAGCCAACATATTAAAACACAAGTCAAAAACAATAGGAAATTTTATCAAGGAATAGCATTAAAACGGCTTTTAAAAACATACTTCATCATGTAGGCTATATCATCTAAAAACAAAATGAACAAAAAGAAAGACCTGAGGCGATTAACAATTCCTGCACTTGAAAAAACGCGCTCTGCAGGAACTGAAGTCGCAGGCACGCAGAGATAACGAAAAGCAAGCCAACAGAATTTAGGAAAGCATCTGGACATCCCGCACCACCACCGAAGTGGGTCTTCATAAGAGGAATAGATGGCGCGGACGGGATCGCAGCGGTGGCAGGCTGTAGTGAATGAAGTGATTGACATAAGCTGGCTTTGGCTAGTCTCTAAGCTAACACCTATGTGCCTGTATTGAATATGATTACACATCGCTCCAGTAGAGTTATTGTAAGCCAATTTGACATTACACAGTTTACACAAAACTTTTCCGTTTCCTTCTAATTCAAAATAATCCCACACCTTACTCGTCTTTCGCGTGGTCACTTTTCGTGGGTCTTCATAAGAGGAATAGATGGCGCGGACGGGATCGCAGCGGTGGCAGGCTGTAGTGAATGAAGTGATTGACATAAGCTGGCTTTGGCTAGTCTCTAAGCTAACACCTATGTGCCTGTATTGAATATGATTACACATCGCTCCAGTAGAGTTATTGTAAGCCAATTTGACATTACACAGTTTACACAAAACTTTTCCGTTTCCTTCTAATTCAAAATAATCCCACACCATACTCGTCTTTCGCGTGGTCACTTTTCAGCTCGCCACAACTGACACGAAGAAAACTCATGCGAGGTCTGAGGTAAAAATGTAGTTTACGCCCAGATACACTTTTAAAAATAATGTATTATTTTTTCAAATGTTTTATTTTAACTTGTTATTTAAAATGTTTTAAATGTAACAATGGTAATTTGATGGTAACATAAAATGATGGTAATTTGAATGACAATTATATATTTTTTTTCTTTTTCTGTCGTGTAATCGACTATTGTTTTCAGTGTCGACTAGTAGGAGCTGTACCGTTTAGTCTACTAGTCGACTAGACCCACACATCCCTAGTTTTAGGCCAGCTGAGCGACTTTCATTCACCACATACAGTCTTTCCTGGTAACTGGTGCATAAGAGATCATGCGTGAAGAGGACCTTTTCAAAAATACAGGTAAATCAGTTCTGACAATTTTCTGGTGTGAGAAGTTGCAACTTTTACAATTTTACAAATTTACCTGTATCATGCCATGGGTGAACAAGGAATAGGATTACTGGTGTGAGGGCAGAATGTATTAATGTAAGAAGTCTGCTTTGGGCCAATCATAAAGCTCTGTAATCATGAATGCTTTATAGGACACTACAGCTCCATTCTGATGGAACTCTTTTTTTTCTGTTTTGAGCATTCATTTTCTTTATTCCGTATAGACCCATCTATCTCTATTGTGCAGCTGAGCATATGGCGGAATTGTTTTCTTTCTCATGCCTCTCACTCTCTCTCTGGCTTTCACTGTCAAGTCTAGGGCTCAGTGGAAGCTTGTGTTAGAGAGAGGAATTGTGGGGGATATAATGGGGGGAGAAAAGACTTGAGAGAGTGGGCTAAGAGCGAGACTGATTGATCGCTGCAGTGAACACTGGGATTTCTTCCTATGTCTGTGACTGTCAGTGTCTAAATTCCACAATAGTCAAGTACTTTCATCTGAATTCATCTGATATACAAGATCCCAAGACCACAGTTCAAACACTATCTATCTATCTATCTATCTATCTATCTATCTATCTATCTATCTATCTATCTATCTATCTATGCATTATTCATTTTCTTCAAGATGCAGTGATGAATAGAAAGTTCCAAAGAAAAGCATTTTTTTGTAACATTATAAATGTATAATTGTAACTTAACTTTTTTCTTACATTACAAATTTTGAATGGTAGTACATCACAGTTTCCACAAATACATTAGGCAGAACAACCGTTTTCAACATTGATAATAATAAAAAAAATATTAAGCAGCACATCAGCATATTAGAATGATTTCTGAAGGATCATGTGACACAGAAGACTAGAGTAATGACTGCTAAAAATTCAGCTTTGCCTTCTCAGGAATAAATTACATTTCAAACAGAAAATAGTTATTTTATATTATAAAAATATTTAACAATACTAATGTTTTTATTGAATTATTGATCAAATACATGCAGCCTTTGTGAGCATAAAATATTCTTTTCAAAAACAATTAAAAGTGAATTCCAAAATTTCGATCATATGTGTGTGTGTGTGTGTATATATATATATATATATATATACAGTACATACATATATACATATATATATATATATATATATACACACAGTACATACATATAATTTTTTTTCAGGTGTTGTAGTTACCTGTGTGTATTGCTGAGTGTATTGGTGAGTGTATTCTGCAGGAGTGGTCTCTGCACTATATTGACTGGGTGGGTGGGTGGCAGGTGGCAGGACTGCGCTGTACGTCCCAGTGTGCGCCTGCACAGTCTGAGGTTTACTGTTGCAGGGTGCTGCAGGAGAAATACATACATGATGTAAATCAGGGCCTGCTCAGGGACACTCATTTAGAACATCTCTCTCTCTCACACACACACACACACACACACTCTTTATCTTCTCTGCTGGTGTGGGCTGTAGCCAGTCTGGCTGTGGCCTTGAGCTAGGAGAGACAAGACAGCCGTACACTGTAAACATTATCGTTGAAAACAGAGAGCTGACAGAGAACAGATACATTCCAAGGTCTGGCAGAAGTGAGTCATCTTCCGTGTGTGCTGTTCTGATTGTGCACGTACCTTGTAGTACCACTCCAGGAAGCACACTAGCCAGGTTTAGATATGGGTTGGAAGGCAACTTCACTTCTTTAGGGGGGTCTCCCAACAGTGACGTCTGACAACTGGACTGACTCTATAGACAGAGATAAAGAAAGTGAGAGAGACAGAGTGAGATACACAATATACTACAGCATTGCAGCTGCTAATCTCTAATCACAGAGTTACTCATATATAGACAACATTTCAAGGTATCTTTAACATACAGCTATAAAGATATCATGAAACATCTTTTTCAATATATTTAACTTATGCATTGTGATGTATTTTTAGAGAAGCTGACCATTTAGCATGAAATAATGTAGAGTGGGTGGGATCCTCATATCATTTCCAATCCATATGACTTTACTTCTTTCATTGAGCACAAAATAAGTTTCAAGTTCAAGTTCAAGTTCCGTTTATTTCTAGAATACATTTAATAACAAGTGCAAAAGCACTATTTGAAAAAAAAAAAAGTAACTGAAGAAAAAGATTAATATTTGTTCAGGCTGCTTTGTGCTTTTCCAAACATCAAAAATAGATGGTGTTTCACATTGTCAAGCATTAAAAAATGGGAAAAAATACATTATAGCTACATGTGCTACATTCCAAGTCTTTAGAAACTATACGGTACCTCTGTCACTGTCCATTTTCATGGTTTAGAAAAGAGCAGCTCAGACATTCTTCTAAACAACAACATCTTTTTCTTTCTCCACAGACATTCTTTTAAAGCATCTTTGGTTTTTCTTTCACATATTTCACAAATAAACAGCAATCCAAGAGCAAGGATTCCATGGAAAAGTACTGGCACAAAGTCTGGCATTCATCTCCAATACAGTCACACAGAAGGCAGAGCTCTCCATTAGCCTGTGTAGGGTAATGCAGTAAGTAATCAGAGCCTGCAGCACTAGTGGTCTGTCATTAGGGCTCAGAACTCTGTCAGAGTCTGTACTGAACTCTACTAGGCGTCTGAGTGCTTGTGTCTGAATAAAGACACCTCCACAGAACAGTGGAAATGGAGTTCCAGGAGTACTGTACTTGCTGTTATTTTTATATAACAATAATAAGTATATATTGTATAGTATGTATATTTCAGAATGTTTACATTATAAAAACATAAAAAATACAATATTTTAAAACGTTTGAGGTCAATAAGAATGTTTTTGAAAGTCTCTTATACTCACCAATGCTGTGTTTATTCGATAAAAAACAGTAAAAATAGTAATATTGTGAAATATTATTACAATTTAATACTGTTTTTGAATTAAGACTGTTTAACGGTGTCACATGATCCTTACAAAAAATCATTCTAATGTGCTGATTTAGTGTTCAGTTAATATTTCTTATTATTATCAATGTTAACAACAGTTTTGCTGCTTAATATTTGGTGGAAATCATGATACATTAAAGGAGATTTAAGGATTATTTGGTGAATAGGAAGTTTAAACAGACAACATTTATTTTGAAATATAAATTCAATTAATTATAAATTAATTTAAAGCCACTTGCTGAATAAAAGTATTTAAAAAATACTAACCTCAAACCTCCAAATGGTAATGAACATATTTAACTAAAACAAATAAATATGAATTATAAATACTCATCGTTCCAAACCCGTAAGATCTTCGTTCATCTTCGGAACACAAATTAAGATATTTCTAATGAAATCCGAGAGCTCACTGACCCTACGCAACTACCACATTCAAGGCCAAAAAGTATTCTCGCAGCTTCATAAAATTACAGTTGAACCACTGTCACATGGACTATTTTAACAATGTCCTTACTACCTTTCTGGGCCATAAAATGTTTCAGTTGCGTTGCTGTCTATGCAGGGTCAGAAAGCGCTCGGATTTCATCAAAAATATCTTAATTTGTGTTCCCAAGACGAACGAAGGTCTTACGGGAATGGAACGTCATGAATTAAGATATTTCTAATGAAATCCGAGAGCTCACTGACCCTACGCAACTACCACATTCAAGGCCAAAAAGTATTCTCGCAGCTTCATAAAATTACAGTTGAACCACTGTCACATGGACTATTTTAACAATGTCCTTACTACCTTTCTGGGCCATAAAATGTTTCAGTTGCGTTGCTGTCTATGCAGGGTCAGAAAGCTCTCGGATTTCATCAAAAATATCGTAATTTGTGTTCCGAAGACAAACAAAGGTCTTACGGGAATGGAACGTCATGAAGGTGAGTAATTAATGACAGAATTTTCATTTTTGGGTTAACTATCCCTTTAAGAGTCGGCCTGAGCTTGACAGCCCCTGATCACTTTATGTTGTCACTGTATGGAAAAGAGCAGCATAAACATTCATCAAGGTTTTTTCTTTTGTGTTCTTTAGACTCGCAGCTTCATAAAATTACAGTTGAACCACTGTCACATGGACTATTTTAACAATGTCCTTACTACCTTTCTGGGCCATAAAATGTTTCAGTTGCGTTGCTGTCTATGCAGGGTCAGAAAGCTCTCGGATTTCATCAAAAATATCGTAATTTGTGCACCGAAGACAAACAAAGGTCTTACGGGAATGGAACGTCATGAAGGTGAGTAATTAATGACAGAATTTTCATTTTTGGGTGAACTATCCCTTTAAGAGTCGGCCTGAGCTTGACAGCCCCTGATCACTTTATGTTGTCACTGTATGGAAAAGAGCAGCATAAACATTCAACAAGGTTTTTTCTTTTGTGTTCTTTAGAAGAGAGAAAGTCAAAGGGTTTAGAACGACAAATGTGAGTAAATGATGGCAAAATCAAGTCTGAGTGAATTATTCCTTTAAAACTTAAGCTCTGAAATGTCTCAGATTTCCTCATTTTTGCCTCGAGGTAAGAAATCAGATAAACAAAAAAAAGAAAACCAGGCTTACTGTAATGGAAGAATGATTCTGCATGCTTGAACTGTGGTGGTTGGCTGGAGCTTTGTGCGTTGTACTCCCCAGCAAAGGTCCCAGACTTGGTGCGTTAATTCCAGGGAGGAAGTTTTGCAGTTGTGTTTGGGAGCTTACAGAGCCTCCTGTGGTTCCTGGAGGTGCAGGCTGTTTCTCTGGAGCCAGGCATGTCGCAGTTACTCCATTCTGCTCTGCAATGGAACTTGCGTGTGAACGTCCAGGTACATGTGACACCATTCCAGCCCCAGAGTTTCCACCCTGGGATGTGACCAGAGAAGAGTCTTGGCCCAACTCTACGAACCAGAGAACATTGTTAAACTACTGCAGTAAAAAAGCTTCCATTCTCAATGCATATATTGTATACTCTGGAAAACCATAGTTTAGTATTTCAATTTCTACCTCACTGTAACACCTGCATGGCACTGATATTCAAATAGAAATGACCCTGCACAAAGGCATACTCTTCAAAGGTCTTCAGTGCTTTGATGAATGCCAATACCAGACTTTGCACACACAAACAGACACACGTCTGTATAAAAGCACAAAGGAAGAAATACTGATTGAAGCGGCTGCCTCAAACTGCTTATAATGGGGCTTTCAAACAGTTTGAGGATTTGCATTGCAAATGTTTTTCCCTGCGGTAGCGAATGCGACCTCTGGACCAGGCCTGAGGTTTTCGAGCTTGACCGCTCAACCAGAAGCTCTCACCTGTGGGAGAATCTCCCAGCAACCCCTTCCCCAGAGGAACTGGTGCCGGAGTTCGAAGACCCAGAACTTTTTGCAGGAGCAGCCGGGAAGGGTCGCCCAAAATTCCTGGGACCTGAAGGGAAATGAAAGAGTGATGAAGGAGAAAAGAGAGCAGACAGACTATAATAGGGTCATGTGGCGAGTGAAAGATGAAGTACACACAGATGAGATTATAGCTACAAAAATACATACACATGCATAAAAGAAGATTTATGTCCGCATTATTATTGCATGAATTCCTTTGTCTTTTCACTTAAATTTTCCTGTGGATGGCATTATTCTTCTTTAACCAGAACCGAAAAATTTGCATTAAAAATGCTAGTTAGATGTATGGTTTTAATACTGCTATATAAAATAAATGATGCTTTCTGAACAAAAGCTGCAGTTGTCTCATTTTTTACAATAGAATTTGTTTTCACAAAAAAGAACTATGAGCACAATTTCAGGCTGTTGTTGAATATCATGCAGGTAAGTGAAATGTGGTAATGTATTTCTTCGTTATTGGTACGTTTGAGATGTGTGAACACACACACACAAACCCTCACATTAGTGATCTGCTTGTCTTTGATCTGTAAGAGCTGTTGTTGGGCCATCTGCATGTGAAGAAGATTCTGAAGAACAAGACCATTTCCTAGGATGGCACTCTGCATGAGAGAAAGAGAGATTGTTAAACATGCTTCATTATTCTTTTCTATTAATCTGTGAGGCAGCAGCCTATTCTAAAACATATTTCCTTCTAAAGTGTTCATTGTTGCTGTACTATAACCTTTTTTATCCATTAATGAATGCAGCATCTACTTTATTTCTCAAGGGTGTTTCTTTAACTATGAGCACATTTGGCTTTGTGAACTTTTAGAAATTAAGCTCCCTTAAAGGGATAGTTCACCCATTCACCCGAAAATGAAAATTCTGCCATCATTTACTCATTCTGTACTTGTTCCAAACCTGTATGAGTTTCTTTCGTCTGCTGAACACAAAAGAAGATATTTTGAAGAATGTTGGCAAACAAACAGTTGATGTCTGACAGTTCCATACTATGGAAATCAATGGTTACCGTCAACTGTTTGGTCAACTTCTTTTGTGTTCAACATCCCACAGAAATGTATACAACTTGAGGGTGAGTAAATGGTTACAGAATTAAAATTTTTGGTTGAATTATCCCTTTAAGTCAGGCTTGTGAGTGACAGAAAGAGAAAATGAGTACCTGCTGCGCTTTTCCTAACTGTAGCAGCGCTGCAGTCAATGGTGGACGCAAGAAGGGGAGATTGTGAGGTCGACCAAACTTTCCTGAAGGGAAACCATTAGTTAAAGAAAATGAGAGGCAAACATAAAAGTAAATATTGTGAAAAGGAAAATAAGAAAGATGGACAACAGAAATGATGTGGTCGATATTGGTGGCCCATGATTTTCATCATTCCAAAATTCCTGCTTCAGCACTAACGGCATGTTGCTCCGGAATAGGTAGAGAAGTTTAACACTTAATCATGAGCTATATTTAGTGTTGTAATTGTGTGTTCTCTTTAAGCTCCGGCCTCCACTTCTTCCTCAGCTCATTTATTCTCCCACCCAATGAAAAGTTCATTTTAATATATGATTAGGCTTTCATCAAGAGAAAAATCTGCTCAGAATCTACAGTGCTGGTGATCACCGTTACACAGTGAACACACACACACATATGCAGAAGTATGAAAGACATTTCATCTCAGAATCTACAATCCTCGCGGGACACATTTTTGGTTCTGTCTGGAAAAGTACTTAAACGTGTTACTCATGAATATTCAAATTATTTGCCTAATGAGTAAAGAGATATTTAAGACAGGCACAGAGAGAGAGAGAGTGTTACCTCCTCGTTTGGCGGTAGGGTAGGGTCTCATAAGGACCTGGAGAGCAGCAGGATTGGTCATACTGTTGAGGAACTGGGCCAGATTGGGTTCAGGCAGTAAACCTTTCTTATTGCTCAACATCTAAAGGAGCACACACACGACAAAGATAAAAATATTAATTCATTCATTTATTATACAAAAATAAACCCATATCCAAACAAATGTTATAATGAACACAGAATGTTTTTTAATCAGTATTTTTTTTCTAAACATAAATAAAATATAAATGTAAATAATTTACTTGGGAATCAAAACTGCATACATTAAGAAATATCTTTTTTTTTTTTTATCCAGGCAAGCTTTTCAATATAATGAAAGTGAATGGCAACTGGTGTGATCAAGCTAAAAAAAAAAAAAACGATCATAAAAAAGCATTCCATACAACTTTTTTGTATTATATACCAATTCAAAGTAATATCCTGTTAACAGACTCAAGTTTTCATTCATATCTTTGGTAAATCTTTACATCTATCCCATATCTCTTGGAATGTAGTATAATATATTTTTCATGATACATTTCTGTAGCTTTTGCCTCATCTTTGAAGCTTGAAAGCTTCAGTCCATATTCACTGTTTCTTTTTTCATGCTCCATAGAAGAAAGTAAGACTTACCCCATTGGCAAATACCTTTTCTACACAAAGCTTAAACCTTACAGCAAGTTAGTTAGATTTATGAAAACATTTAGAAGTTTAATCTGGTTAAAAAAGTTATTAAACTTCTATCTTCCATATCTATATATTGCACATCAAGTAAATGATGTTTACTAAATAATTGTTTAGGATGTTTACAATTTAACTATAAAATCAAATTAACTTCTAAAAACAAGACAAAACAGATTAACCCTGTAAAGCCTGACATAAAAATATTCAGAAAATTCTAATGCACTAAGCATAAATATGCAATTTGGTGCAGTTGCTAATATTCATATGGCCAAAAAGTTTTTAAAAAATATTAAATTATTTTTATAATGTAAATCAGTAAGATCTGCCAATAATAGTCTCAGTAAGGTGATATTTAAATGTTTTGTTTTAATATCCAAGGGGGGGGGGGGGGGGTAATAGATTATAATAGAAGATAATCTATTATCTTCTAATAGATTGTGTACAAGAGTTTTTTAAGCAAAAATTATAATTTAGAGGCCTTAGAAATTTGCATATCGGATATGATACAGTAGGCTTTATAGGGTTAAGCTTTTTTTTTGCAGAGCTTCCTTGATGTCTTGTCAAATGTTTATCTGGGATGTTTATGTCCCAGCGGTGAGTGAGCATGTGTGAGTGTGTGTATTTGTTGGCAAGGGAGAAATGCTTGCAGACATGCGGAACCCCTGATTAGATCTCTGATGACTGCTAGAGGTGTGGATCCATCCCAGCCACACTCCAACTCCATCTGCTGACTACTACTCCCCCACCCACACAGACATCTCCACTTGTGCACATTCACACATTGTGCTGCTTTCATACTGGAATGGGTGAAGCCAAGGGTGTAACCACATATTCAGGTATGAGGGGACATAGACGTATTAATTTAAGAATCGGGAGAACGTGGAGGTAGTGGTGATGGCCCTGAGTTAAGCAGAAGATGGGTGGAGTATTTGGGGAGAGGGACTGAAGAGCCTGTCTATTCATGAGAATGACAAAAGCAGGGCCGTGTCCCATCATGCCCCCTGCCCAGAGCTTCAGAGATGGATTAGCAGAGAGCTCTGCTCCTGATGTGTGCTTCCAAAGAGCCATAAACTACAGCTGAGAAACTCTATAGCATGTGTGACGAGCGTCCCGAAGCTTCATCAGCGTCGCCCTGGAAACAAGCGAGGAGCACCTGGCCATCATCATCACAGGCTGATCGGTCATACCTGCACCTCATCAGGCGGCGGCTACATAAACCACGCAAGCCCTGCCATCTAGGTGATTCCTCCATGAGACTGAGCACTAACTCACCCTCTCATTCTCCCCACAGAAAGCAGCGTGTGACCGACCAGCCCCACAGGAGCACTGCACGGACCCTCTACACTGGGAAGACGGAAGAGAGCACTCACGGCACCGGAGCCTCTACCTGGACCTTTCTCACGAGCACCCCTCACCCCAATAAATCCACCCTCCGGGGTATTGATTGAGATTTCTTGTCGTGTGATTTTTCACCCCGTGACACTGGTGGAGAATGCTGGCAAATCAGTGAAGAATCACCGACAAGCAATCTTCTTCACCTCACCTTTTTTCCTTGTTTTTGTCTCCGGTTTCTGTCACAGGCGAGCGCTCCTCCCCCACCATGGACGAAATCCTCCAGCGGCTCACCGAGGTTAGCATCCACCAGCAACAAATCGTTGAGCACCTCGCCACCCGTCAAGGAGAGACTGAGCAGGAACTCGCGGCCCACTCAACACGTTCCGCTGCCGGACCTCCGAGTGCAAGCTGCGAAGCTGCTACCCAAGCTGACCTCTCACGATGACGTAGAAGTCTTCTTACAAATGTTCGAAGCGACGGCCACCTTGGAAGGGTGGCATCAGGATGACTGGGCACGGGTGCTGGCTCCCCTGCTGATGGGTGAAGCGCAGCGTGCATACTTTGCTCTTCCCTGGATAGACCATCTTCTCCGAGCCCTTCCTCGATCTCACCGACAGGCCGTTGGGATGAGGAACCCAACCACCACGTCCGAGCTGGTGGAGGCTGTCGAGCTGGCGGATTCGGCCCAACACCGGGATGCTGGGGAGCGAGTGCCGCCATTTCCCCGGAGGGTGGTCCAGGAGCGGCACGCGCCGGAGGGCACCCTGCGACCAGTACGCAGGCCAGCAGCTCCCTCCCAGCGGGATGAGCCCATGCCAACGGAAGTCCCCACACGGACCTGGCTGGCAGGCTGCATTGTGCACCGCGACCTGCCGGTGGAGGCGCCAAAGGTGGAAGTGAAAGTGAATGGAAAGCCGTTCCAGGCCCTCCTGGACTCGGGCAGTGCGGTCACTCTGGTCCAGTCGCATATTCTCGCCCCCCGAACGGAGTGTAAAGCCTTCCTCCCCATAACCTGTGTCCACGGGGACACACGACAGGGTGACCATTTCGGCCGTTCCCGGCACCTGGCCGGTGGAAGTCGGGGTCATGAAGGATCTTCCAGTCCCCGTGCTGATCGGGAGAGACTGGCCAGGGTTTGACCGCCCGCTGGCCACGGCTACGCAGCCTGCCAGCCCAGGAGGGGGCCGCCGAAGAAGGAGGCCCACGACAGGACCTCGTCAGCGGCCCGTGCTTCCGGCCTCGGATAGCGGGAGGGGAGGTGAGTCCCCCTCCCAAAATCCTAACGTCTTCTATGATGTGTTCCAACAGGTGACGGGAGGGGGCTCATTTGGGAAGGAACAGCGGGAGGATGACCGGCTGAAGCATGGATGGACCCAGGTCCGGGTCATCGAAGGCAAGGAGGTTCAGCCTGGTCCCCACCCTCTCCCGCACTTCATCGTGCAAAACGGCCTGCTGTACTGTGTCGCGCAGCGAAGGGGGGAGGAAAAATTGTTGTTGGTGGTGCCACGCAGCAAAACGGAGACCGTACTGGAGTTGGCTCACTCCCATCCCTTGGCAGGGCATCTCGGAGCCAGGAACACCATCTAGCGGATCCGCGACCGCTTCCACTGGCCGGGCTTGGAGGCCGAAGTGAAGCAGTTCTGCCAAGCCTGCCCGACCTGCCAAGTGACATCACCCAGGATGCCTCCCCCCAGTCCGCTGATACCGCTGCCCATCATCGAGGTGCCCTTCGAGCGCATCGGGATGGACCTTGTGGGGCCGTTGCCTAAGTCTGCCCGTGGACATGAACACATCCTGGTGATCGTCGACTATGCCACCCGGTACCCTGAGGCAGTGCCCCTCCGAAAAGTCACAGCCAAAGCCATTGCCCAGGAACTCTTCCTGCTCTCCAGCCGAGTTGGCATCCCAGCGGAGATCCTGACCGATCAGGGTACCCCTTTCATGTCCCGGCTAATGGCTGACCTCTGCCGGCTGCTGCGGGTGAAGCAGTTGAGGACCACAGTCTACCATCCCCAGACCGACCCACTGGTCGAACGCTTCAATCAAACACTCAAGCAGATGTTGAGACGGGGGGTCTCAGAGGCTAAACGCGACTGGGACCTGATGCTCCCCTATGTCCTTTTCGGGATCCGTGAAGTCCCGCAGGCCTCAACTGGCTTC